AATGTACACAGAAAAAAAAATTAGGATTACCAAAATAATTGCTATTCCAGTTTGCTCTTATAGGTTTTTTACGTTTCCAGCAAAGTCCAGAGCAAAGCACAGAGGATTCTTAAAAGTTTGTCAGATGTAACTTTGACTCTTAATAAGTTTCAGGTAAGAGCATGCTTAAAAGCTACTTCTATGTTGACCACCTTGTTGCTTTTAATTGGAGTAAAATGGCCTTTTGTATGACTCATTGATCTGAAACTGGTTCAAAGCCAGCCCGGGCACAAAAAGGTTCCTGTGAGACTGTCACCTCTATTCAGCCAGCAGAGTACTAGCCCTGGACTGAAGAGTCAGGGGACAGCATTCAAGCCCCGAGTCCGGGACTCAAAATGGCAGGGTGCTGGCCCTGAGCTGGAGAGCTAAGGAACAGCACTCAGGCCCCGAGTTCAAGTCCAGTGATCAGCTAAGAAAAATGCCAATGAGGCATTTATCCAGTGTAGAGAAGACACTCCTGGGACAAGAAAAATGGAGAAGCATCCAGAGGCTTACGCCTCTGCTTGGATGACAAAAATGTCAGATCCTAGAGTCATTTGTGTGTGGCCTTCAAAACTGGTCAGAGCCGGGAGGTCATGGGAAGAGTTTGTAAGCATGCCTAATGTCCATGACTATCTACCTTGTAAGGGACAGGAACTTGCCAGTCCTCTGTGATAGTAATAAAAAGCTAATGTTATAAAATGTGGGGGATAGTTTAAATCTCAACCCCTTTATGTGCCAAAAAGCTCTAATTGGCAGCTCTAATTGAGCTGACACTAGTTACATGAAGTTCATCTGCTCAGGAAAATGTTTGTAAACCAGAGAGTGTGTTTCTATTGATACCTGTCTAAAGGCCTGCAAAGGTAACTTAGGTATTGTTGAGATCATTAGAGATCACATTCCTAAGCCTTCTAAAAAGATGTTTTTGCAAACCAGAGTGGTAAACAAGCTACACTGCTGTAGACGGAAAAAAAGGTCTGTGCAGTTGTCAAAAGTTAAATATTGTTCTTAATGACATCTAACCCTGATAGCCTCTTTGTAAAATAGGCTAAGGTTATAGGTTCCTGGCTAGGTAGGATCAACGCCCCTGAAGTCAGCTTGAAGAAGTTACAGAAGATGGACCTTTGCCCTTTTACCCCCTTTTTAAGATCAAGGGTCCAGAATCAGTTTTTTAAAAAATGAGACAAAATAGATAAAATAATTTTTTAAAAGACATAAAAAATAGTGTTAACAGTTGTAGGTGTGCAAGGTGTAAAGACTGCATCTGTCAGAGATGGCTACAAGACTAAGCCTTCTGTGTCTATTTACAAAAATATCTGGTTAGTAAAAAAGTTATAATTTTGATAAATTGTCCTGGGCTATTGTTTAAAGATCTTAAAAACCAGCAGGATCAAAACCTGTCAAGCCTATGCTATGTATCCTTAACCAGTCTGTGTAGAAATTTACAGCCCAGCATGAGGTGTGACAGTCCCTTGGAGCAACTGAGAGATCCTGCTACTGCAGTTTTTGCTGCATATCCTAATGGGTAGAGTTGAAAGACAGCCTCACAGTCACCTGGAGGAAATCTATGTCTTCACCCAGACCATCTCCACCATGGTAAAAATAGACTAAACTCCTGCCTGGTTTCATCACCTGAGACTGCATCCTGGTTAAAAGCTGCTAAATCTAAGATCTTGTGGGACATTCTTCTGGGTGATACCCAAAAATCCTCTCTATTCCCACAGTGGATACTGGGGACAAGGATATCACTGGCTTGCTTACCTTAGGCACTTCAGTGCATAGTGACTGGAAATCCACTCTATGGTCACAGCCTAGTTTGGCTCTGGTATGGTAATAACCTGAGTGTGTTATCAATGGAGGTAATACTCTTAGCCTTAAAATCTAGCAAGCTTCTGCATCACAGTGGTGCCTTAAGGCTGTTCTAAGGTAAAGGTTCCACAAGCCAAAGGAAAATTGGGCAGTCTTAAACTCTAGCCACAAAGATGCTCAAGAAATTAAAAAGGAGGGTGGTAAAAAAAGCCTTGGGAAAAAAATTTGGGTAAAATTGGTATCCTGGATAAAAAAGGATTTAAAAAGTAAGGATTGTCTTTAAATATTAAAAAAAAAAGACAAACCTCAAAAAGTATATGTAACAAATGGTATGGTATGTATTAAAATTGGAGCTTACGAGTAGAGCTGGTATGAAATTAAGTTAGCTGTGCTATACATAAAGTCAGGATTGGTGTACTGATGTAAAATATTCTTTGTCTTATCTATATGCCTACTGCAATCTAGATGCTGGTTCAGTTAGAGCCACCAGGTAGACTCGTTGGCAGAGGTAGTTCTCTGTAATCACCCAGAACTGGACTTCTCATAAAGCAAGGTAGCCTTTATATTTAAAAAAAAAAAAGTTTGGCCTTGGTTAAAAGAGTCTGAGGGACTGAGTCATGTTATCAGCCTCTCTTCTCATGGTCCCCATGGGCGACAACCCTAATAACTGCCCTGGCTGGTATAGTTCTCTTGCTTCTGACATTAACTGTAGGTCTCCATAGATGACCACCCTGATCTCCACGATTCTGGGACGCGTGCTTATTTTCCTTTTGATTCTTACTTTTGGCCCCTGCATTCTTAATAGGCTGTTACAGTTTATCCGCGAAAGGCTATCCAATACGCAGGCCATGGTATTAACCCAACAATACCAAGCATTAAAAACAACTGACACCCCACAAGATAATATAGAGACACCCTAAATTTTAAGATTAAAATTAGTCCAAAAAAAAAAGAGGGAATGAAAGATAAAATAAATTAGAGTTACATTTTACAATTGCTAACAGCTGATTTTGCTTCTGTAAACTTGCTTATGCTAGCTAGCACTGACCCTTCCCCTCCCTAAAAATAAGTAAAAAGTTTCAGAGTCCAGATGCCGGCCCCTGGGACAAGGTCTGTGGTTAAGGATAAATAACAAAAGAGTATGTTTTTCTAAGTTCTTGTTTGAAAATCCCCAAATGGGACCCAAGATAAGGACCATCTGGCAAGTCCAGCAAACTAGGTCAAACCTCAACCAATCACAAGCCTGCAACTATGTGAACTCCCCTCCAGTGTGACCGCTCCCCCTAGATTTGTCCTGAGCCAACCATTTTATGAAGAGTGTTACAAAGTTTCCCGAGTAGCAAAATGATTGCTGGAGTACACAGTGACTTGTAAATGGACCAATCCCGGGTCACCTGGTGTCATATGCTAATCCTGTGGATTTTGTCTTTAAAAATGCCTGTGACCTCTGCTCAGGGCTCTCTCCTGAACTGGGGTAGAAAGTCCGTTTGCGCAAACGCTGAATAAACTCCTCTTGCTTGTTGCATCTACTGGTTTGGAGTCTTGGTTTTTGGGGCGCCCTCCCGTAGACGAAAGTATCTCAGTGAGTCTGGGGTCTTTCAGTGGTAGAGCGCTAGCCTTGAGCTTCATGAAGAGCTGAGGGACAGGGCCCAGGCCCGGAGTTCAGGCCCCACAACCGGACCCCCCCCCAAAAAAAAACTGGTTTCTCACAAGCACCTCAGGGTCAGGAAATATGCTGTGTCTGTTGAGACTCTGGGAAATATGAGATGCTGGGAAAACTGTTTGGAAAGTCCCTGTGCTTGTTGTGATAAGATTGTGTAATCTGCTTGACCACCTGCCTTGGGAAATGTGGGAGGTTAACTATAGGAAAACAGCCCAGCCACTACCTTTGCCCTTCCAGGAAGAAGCAGCCTTATCCCCGCCCCCACAAGTAAGAATATCTGCCTGCTTTGTGTGGGGACTGCCAAATTCACACACCAATTTAAACCACATGATAGGTTAGTTCAAACAGTTACTATGAGGCAGACTGTAACTCCACTGGCCACTATGCAATCTTTCTGCGTGTGGCCGGGCTTGACCACGTGGTTTTTGGCCCTTAAAAACACAAGTTTAGTCTGTGCTTCGTCCCTGGCCAGTCAGCTATCCACTTCCCCAATAAATTCATCTTTTTGCATGAGACTGTCTCTGCATAGTGGACTCTGGTGGTATGTGGAATCCCCTCCCCCAGAACCGGTAACAGTTACCATTAGAAAATTTAAGGCAAACAGAGACACAACTGTCACGCTTCAGAACACACTGTTAGTGAAATGGGTCCCTTCCCATAGCTTAGTCCACTCCTTCCCTTCTCCACAGCTTAGCATGCTCCCTTCCTAGGCAACACCAGGCCCATGTAGTAAAGGCAGTAAATAATCATCTTCCAACCCCCTTTACCTTGGCATGACACTTCTCTGGGGCAGCTACCACCATATAAGGCAACAAGAGCCCCTTAGAGTGACCTTCAGATCTTGGCAGTTGCAGGACCCCTAATCTACCACTTGGATGGCAGCCATAAATCCTAGTCCAACATGATGAATGAGGCCCCTGGCCCACACCAGAGCCTTCCCCTGCTAGCCCTTTGTAACCCCTCCTAAACCTCCTAGGTTATATAGGTCATCCCAGACAATAGCCTGTGCTTCTTCTCATTCCTCCCTCATGAAAATGAGTCTTGCTGGCTTCCCTCTCCTGGCAATAAGCCTTGGCAATAAACCTTTCTTTGTTCTCTGTACGTGGATATCTGTGTGGTTCTCTGGCAAAGTCTATTAATCTTAATTTTGCTAACTCATACTGTTAGGAAAAAGAAGATATGGAAAAATTGCCTCCATTACATTAATACAATTAGATACTTAAATAATTAGATTAACTTAAATCTTAAATAATAAATTATTATTTAAGATTGAATATTATTATTTAAAATTATTATTATTTAAGATTATTTTGTGCTGTGCCCACATTTGAATTTGTATTTGGTCTCACAACATCGCAGGGGAAAACCAGGATTTCCACTTCCACTAGTGTAGCGCAAAGCATAGTGGGAAATGTAGTCTTCCCCAGGGACAGACCCACTGGCAGAGCTCTTTCAGGCTCCTCCCCTGCATGCGTCTCCCCGCCCACTCACGGCGTTTTCTGCTCAGGAATTCCGGTTTCTGGAGCTGAACCAAGCTCCTGGGAAGTTTCTGGAGTGAAGTTCAGTGTTCTGAGTGCCGGAGCCGGGGTGGCAAGAGGCCCCGCCGTGCCTGGCGAACCTGGGGACCTGAAATGTGAGTGGATGGCAGGCAGGCAGGAAAACGGGCTGCGGGCGGCAGCTGGAGCCGGGCGGGTAGCCTGGAGGCTCCACGCACTGCCGGGTCCCTCCGGTCTGGATGACTGTGCCTGGGGTCGTGATGGCTTTGTCAGAGTCGGTTCTGCCAGAATCAGTGTCCTTCCAGGTGCCGGCACCTAGCTGGCTCGGGAAGGTTCGCGGGCAGGCTAGAAGGTTGTGCAGACTAGGAGAGCTGGGGAGGCTTGCGCTTCTGTTCCACGCCTGATTCTGCTGTGGACCAGTGTGATGACATCATTTGCCCAGCTGAACGATGGACGAGTCACAATTCTAGTGAGGTTGTGAAGGGTGTGCTGGCCGAGTCTTGTGCTATGGCAGTTGTGTTGGTGGGGTTCTGTGCTGTTTTCTTGTGGGGACGTTTCTAGTCCTTCTGGGCACCGTAGCCTCTTAGCACGCCTGGCTCCAGTTCACACATGTTTGTACACGACTGGCTGATGGACCTGTATTCCTTGGAATTAAGTAAGCGTGGCAGATTCGAAGGAGGGCAGATTCTGAACAGGAGTGTGCATCCTGACTGTCCTTGTGAACTCTCACTAGCCCTAAAGAGCAGAGGCAGAGAAGCACTAGAACGGGAAGATCTGGTTAGCCTCCCTTTCCCTAGCAATGATTGATTCGACTTTCCAGAGCACAAGATTCACCTGGTACAACTTTCTCCAAAGCTTCCAAGCACTCTCCAATATTGAGAGGAGAGAGGTGAGCTAGACTGAGGAATGAACCAGATCTGAATTATCAGAGGGTTAGGAGCTGTGGTTTATAGTACAGAGATATGTTCTCACACCTGAAAGATCTGCCTCTACAAGAAAGCTAATCCCCTTCTCTTTCACTCAGTCTAACCTCACTGTCTATCATTTCTAGAATGCAAGCTCTCTCAAACTTATCCTATTATTAAATGCGGCATCTAGTGGTACTAGTTCTTTCTTTTACCTGATGCTTTTTCTGGCAATTCAGGAAATGTGTGCTAGGCACCTTATGCTTTAAAACAAACATGACAAAACACAACTTAAGTGATGTACCTTGCTCAAAGTTGTATGGTTTGTAGATGTTAAGTATCCTAAAGGTTTAGCTAGTGTTGGCCATATTGTTACAATCTGCCAAAAGTAGTATTGTTTCACTTTGGAAATTTTTGTGGGGACAGGGGTGAGGGAAGTGAATGAAGTCAATGTCGCACAAACATTGCTTGAAAATATTTCACTTGAAAGATTCTGGTCCTTTTCATATCCTCAGCATTTCCTGTGGTTTTTGTGACTGAAAAATATTACTAATATGGATATATTGCACTTTTAATATGTTCTTCAAATATTACATATTCTTCAGTACAATAATGAATTTATTTTACATTACTTAAAATAGAGTGGACTGCATATACTTTTGTCCTAACATTCCCTCCCTCTTGTTTTTTTTTTCTTTTTGTCTTTTGCCAGTGGTGAGGCTTGAACTTGGCCTGGGCACTGTTCCTAAGTTCCTGAACTCAAGGCAAGTGCTCTACCACTTGAGCCACAGCACCACCTCCACTTTTCTGGTGGTTAATTGGAGATAACATTTGTAGGCAGAAATTCCATAATATGATTTTTTTTTTTGCTCTAGGGATGCCCAAAAAGGAAAACAAAAAGAAAAAGTCCTCATGAAATATATGAAAATTTCATTCCCATAAATTGAGATATTCAGCCTATAACAAATTTATTTTATTTTATTTTATTGTTTTTTTTGGGGGTGGTCCGGTTGTGGGGCCTGAACTCTGGGTCTGGGTGCTGTCCCTCAGCTCTTCAGCTCAAGGCTAGGGCTCTACCACTTGAGCCACAGCGCCACTTCTGGCTTTTTTGTTTTTGCTTATATGGTGCTGAGGAATTGAACCCAGGGCCTTAGGCATGCAAGGCAAGCGCTCTACCACTGAGCCACCTTCCCAGCCCCTTTTTTTGGGGGGGGTCCTGTCATGGGGCCTGAACTCTGGGCCTGGGCACTGTCCCTCAGCTCTTCAGCTCAAGGCTAGCACTCTACCACTTGAGCCACAGCGCCAATTCCAGCTTTTTTCTTATGTGGTGCTGAGGAATCGAATCCAGGGCCTCAGGCATGCAAGGCAAGTGCTCTACCACTGAGCCACATTCCCAGCCCCCTATTTTATGTTTTTTAAAGTAGAAAACAAACTATTGTAATGCAGAAAAAGTTAAAACTAGAATTCACACATTGCCTTTTAATGATTCACTTGGTCTTGAGAAGGCTGGCCTGGCCAAAGTGCAACCATATTGGATATTAAGGCCATTTTGTAAAAAAGGCTTTTACTGACATGAGTTCAGGTTCCTAGAAAAATGGCAGGACCAAAACCACTCTACTGGTAACTCCCTAGCAACAGTCAATCTACTGGTAACTCCCTAGCAAAAGTCAATCAGTAAGTAGCAGGAAAGTAAAACTCCAGATTTTTCTTAAGATAGCATAGTTAACATATTTTGCTGCTCAGCTGCTTAGCCTGAGCACTTTAGCCAATAAGATTGTTACAAGACTTACTTACTAAATGTTAATCAATCATGTAACCACTAAGTTGGAAACCTCCTACCCTTGCTAAAACCACAATAAAAACCCTGCTGAATTGGAAGTCAGGGCTCTCAACTCTGACTCGCTGTGTTGGTGAAGGTTATGAGTCCAGGCTGGAGCTTGCAATAAATGACTCTCGTGCGCTTGCATCAGAATCGGTTCGTTGGTGGTCTTTGGGGATCCTTATCTGGGCATAGCAGTCTTTACTTGCAAAAGCAAACTCACTGAATTCTAGACAATTGACTTTTGTGGTGATTTGCATTATTCATCCACTGGTTGAAAAGTTCACTTCATTGTACTTCAGAAATTTGTCTCCTACATAGTTTTATTAAAAACAAAGCTGTAGATGACCTAGAATTTCCTATATAATTTACCAACCAATACATACTGGCAAAAATATGCAGTCATTTCATTCATTTAAAGTTTTGAGAAGCTGCATTTTAGGCTGGACTCAGCATTGTGTTTCTGTTAGTATTGATTGTTGAACAGATGAGGCTTTACTCATGTCATTTTCTTTTTTTTTTTTGTGGGGATTGAACTCAGGGCCTGGATGCTGTTCCTGAGCTCTTGTACTCAGGGCAAGCATTCTATCACTTTAAACACAGCCCTACTTCTAGTTGTTTTTTTTTTAACTTGAAATTTTTTTTATTGTAAAGATACTATACAGAGGGTTACAGTTACATGAGTGAGGTAATGAGTACACTTCCTCTTGAACATTGTTACCCCCTCCATTGTTTTCCCCCTACCATCCCTTTCCTCCCTCCCTTCCCCAAGGTTCTTTTTTTTATTGTGATTAAGTGATTACATAATTTCCCAAATTTCACAGTATTGTGGAATAATGATGCTCATTTAAAGTCACAAGTTCATTCTAACTTTCCTGGAGCAAATTGTCTATCACAGTCTGTAACATATAACGGTGTTCACATATTATACACTATATATGTGATCAGCAGCGTGGGGATATTTAGTAGTGGTTCAACCAGATGATTTAGCATCCACTTATCAGGGAGACCATGTACCGTTTGTCTCTTCGCTCTTGGCTTACCTTGCTCAACATGATTCCTTCTAGCTCCATCCATTTCCATGCAAATGCCATTATTTTGTCATTTCTAATGGCTGCATAATATTCCATTGTGTATAGATACCACAATTTTTGGATCCATTCATCTGACGTGGGGCA